TATACAGTGACCTAAAACAGATTTGAGCCTATTAGCAAGAACTTTAGCAATCACCTTATAAACTACAGAACATAGGCTGATAGGCCTAAAGTCAGAGACACTAGAACCAGATGAATTTTTAGGAATGAGAGTAATAATAGAGTGATTAACATCTTTAGGCATCTAACTCTTATCAAAAAAATTCTTAATGGCAGCTAAAAAATGGTGTTTAACTACCCCCCAGGAGTTTTGGAAAAAAGAAGGGGTCATTCCATCAGCCCCAGGGGCTTTTGAGTGATCCATGCCCATAAGAGCCTCATAGATTTCACTATCCTCAACCTCCCTTACCAGCCTGTGATTCATCTCCTGAGAAATAGTCTGATTAATGCAATTCAAACTGCAAGCATTCAGATATGGGTTAGAGGATTTAAACAGAGCATTAAAATAATCTTCAACAACTTCTACAATCTCTGTAGTGCTACTGCATTTGAGACCAACTGAATTAACCAGATTACTCAAAGAATTCCTAACCCTCCTCTGTTTAACACTGGCTTGAAAGAATCTAGTATTTTTATCACCATTCTTAAGCCAACACACTCTAGCTTTTTGACTCCAAAACAGTTCTTCCTCCCTCATAGCTTCATTTTGCAATTCTTTCCACTTATTCCACTCCTCCCAATTCCTATCTCCACATAGCTTCTGAAGCTCCTCTAGCTTGGATTGGCATTCATCAATAATCTTAAGAGAGTTATGAACAGAACCAGCCTTCCATCTTAATTAACCCATTCTCACATTCCTAATTCTGCTTTGAACACTAAACAAGAGAGGCCCTTTAACAGGTAAATTCCAAGCATTAGACACAACTTCAGCAAAACCTTTCTTTTTCTCCCATCTCTTATGAAAGAAGAATCTAGGTTTTCTACTGTCATGGTTACAATCTCTATCCAAAACAAGCATACAATGGTAAGAAGAAGTTAAAGTAATGTGCTTAATTAAGGACATGGGATAAGTAATCAACCACTCAGAAGAGAAAAAGAATCTATCCAACTTAACCTCAATAAACTTAGCCCCAACTCTATTGTTGGCCCAAGTGAATTGGTGCCCAACAGTTTTAGTCTCCCCCATATCCATGCCACTCACAAAATCTCTAAAAGCTTTAAAACTCCCCTCCTCCCTCACCCTACCCCCCTTCTTCTCAGCATTGGATAAAATATCATTAAAATCCCCAGCAATGAACCAAAGATTCCCCCACATATGTCTATGCCTACTAAGGATGTTCCATTGGGTTATTCTGATGTTAGTATCATTACTAGCATACAAAAATACACCCCAGTGGATCACCTGACTACCAGCAAAAGAAAACTTAACCTCAAAACAGAAATCCAAATAGATAATATCTAGAACCATAATATTAACTGACCAACTCAAAAGCATACCCCTTTACCCCCCACAGGATCAGTAAAAACCCACCTATCATTAAAAATGCAAATTTTTACAAACAGTTTTGACAAATTTTTGTTTTTTCTTAACTTCAGAAAGAAAGGAAAAATCTGGGAGGTGAGTTTTCAAAACTCTCTTAAACTGAGAAATTGTAGAGGGTCCCCCCAAACATCTACAATTCCACACACATACTCTCATTTAAAACTTTGGGACCAGTTAGGGCTGGTTTCCACCACCTCAGACAATTTAATCGATTTTTGGTAACAAATTTGATATGATTTTGATAACAAATCACGAATTTTTGTAACAAATTTGATCTTATTTTGATAATAAATCTTGGATTTTGTTAACAAATTTGATCTGATTTTGATAATAAATCTCGGATTTTGATAACAAACCTTTTAAAATATCAATTTTCTCTGTAACACACTTTATAGTTATTTACACACAATATATTACCGATTTTTGAGATTTTTATTGGTAACAAATTTCACAATTTTTTCGGTTTTTTTGAATTAAATATTGCAGAAAAAATCTCGAGATTTGTTAAATGATACATATCAAAATAAAAATCTATCTATCTATATATATATATATATTAAAAGCCAACCTATTTACCAAAAACAGTAGCAAGAAAAGTCAACACACATTTAATGCATACTTTATTTGGAAATTTTTTACTATATGCATTAAATGTTTGCATATTTATATTTACTATCCAAATATGTTCTTAAAGATTTTTTCCTTAATTAATTTATGCAATGATTTTACTGATATCCATTATATTAATATTTGTCGAGTAATATTTTTTAGCCTTTATTTAATATATAACACTAATATTTTTTAAAAAAGTTAATATTATTTATTATTTAAAAGATAATGATCACATCATTAAATGATTTTATTGATGGTTAGATAATAAAATTATAGTTATTCTTTAAAATTTTGACATGTTATTTATTTGTATATTATTGTCAACTATGATAGTGTTTTTATCACTTTTTTTTGTTATGTTTCAAAAATGAACTTATTGTAAAATATTTTTCTATTTCATAGTATGTTAAATAAACTATAAAGCCTTGAGATTAAAATTAGAAAAAATCTCTTGATTATGTAAGGGATTTATTTTTTGGCAATTGCTAAATCACTTTTTTTTTAAAAAAAAGAATTATTATGAGAAAATTGAATTCTAAAAAACATGTGTGTGTATTTTGTAAATATTTATACTCAAAATTTTATTTTGAATTTCCTTACATAAAGAAGGCTACCTCTATAACTTTTATAAATAATAATAATTACATTATATGGATGTAAATTTTATAATAAAATAATAATTGAGTATTATATGGTGAACAATAATTAATAAAATTTTTAATTTTTCCTATGTCAATGAATAAATATGTATTCTAATATCAAATAAATATTAGTATGACGGGTTAGCGGAATTATATATTAATTAACATGTTAATTTTTTTGCTTAAATAAACGTCACTTATTAAAAGATGTGAAATATGGATGATCCAAGCCTATTGTTTTTTTGTCTAGACGTACAAGTCCTATAGAAATAATTGATTTATTATATGTATCACGTGCATCGCACGGGGTATGCACTAATAAATGACCTTAAAATTGTGCACCCCGTGCATCACTCGTGTTCACATTTTGGCCTATCACAGGTCACGTACTATATATATCCCATACTTTTTTTTATTCATTTATATAATTATAAGAATGGATAAATGACCTTAAAATTGTGCACCTCGTGCATCGCACGGGCTCTGTACTAGTAGATATTTAAAACATTTAGATTTCTATAAACTTTTATCAAAGTATAATTTCTTGTGATTTTTTTAGGGTAATTGTCACTTTCTCTCACTGCATATTAAACATGCATTCAATTACGGCTAAATAACCGCAAGCAAAAAGGAAAAAAAATAAATAAATCAGAAGCCTAGAAATTAGGGATTGGTAAACAAAAAATTGTTCTTTGTGAAATCTTTTTTGATAAAAAATTCCGATATACTATATATATACTATCTAATAACACTAAATACGTGTTGAGATATACTGTATATATATATATATATATATATATATATATATATATATATAAATATATATGATAAACATGATCTGTCATTTCACTAATATTAACCGTATAATTATACAAAAGAGGAACAACATATAAACAACATTGCAACGGGACAAAACATAATACACAATTTTGAATGACTGCATAATCTAAATCGAATGTAGTCATACATAATATGAACAACATATGTCTACTTTACATGACGCCGAATTAAACTTAGAACTTATCAATTCAAACATATGTCTACTTTACATGGCATTTACAAAGTTCAAAAACAACTTTGCTCATTCCAAAAAATAACACAATATAGATTATGTATAATTAACGTATAATTTATGTTATTATTACTACACTCATTCGTGTTTTATATACCCCATATAAACTTTAAATAACCAGTCTATTGATCAACAACTCTGGTGCGTGTTGAAAGAAAAACCTGGTCGTGCACCTGTGAAGCCAAGTAACCTCCATTACTCTTCACAATCCCTTCTACATATACCCATAACCCATTCCTCATCTGCTCCGTTTTTCTTCACGGCGCCATTTCCAGAGCAAGAAACTGCCACCTTCCTCCAATTCCACCATATTATGAGCATCAAGCACACCAGGAATAAGCAAATGAAGGTTGACGTGAAGATGATCGGCACCACGATCCCGACGACCTCCGACCTCGATTGGCACTTCCTCGCGTGTCTCTTGATTCCCCGCACTGAATAGGCGGCGACCTGCACAAACCGCCTCTGGGAGTTGAAGTTTTTTTTTTTTTTTAAGAGATATAGTTTTGCTACACCATAATATGGAAAGAGAAAACAAATTTCTTTTCTTCTTTTACAGTTGAGTGTAAAAGGTATTAGATTGTCACATTTGCCGAAAATCATGCAAAACTTTAATTGTGTGTGTCGTCGGTTGTTTTAAAATATGAGATAAGTTTATTTTAATTACTACAAGATATTATTCACAATTAATGTTAATCAGAAACCGTCTAAAATATTAAGTTTATTTTAATTACTAAATGTAATTTTGAATATAAGTTTATAGGCTCATAATTGTGATCTTTATTAGCTAAGCAATTGTGAAGGGAGTAATTTCTCATTATTTTACCAGAGCAATGCTTTCCTACCCACGGTGGGACATATTAATGTGCCCACTGCTTATGTGGCAAACACACATTGGTGATGTTAATATGTTAAAAAATACATCACCAATGTGTGCATGCCACATAAGCGGTGGACATATTAACATGTGTCCACCATAGGTAGGGGAGCATTATTGTATTTTACCATTCCATAAAATTGGAGTATGATAAGTAGGGGTTAAAATAATCACGTAAATTTCGCGGCCCTTGGCAAGCTCACTACACTTATGTGAATATATATCCATCCAGTCCACCATTCAGGCCCATTCGTTTGAGTCGTACAAAAAAACCCTAATCAAAACAATCACCCGCCCACAAATTTCAGCAGCCAACAAACAAAGCTCCACGAAAAAAATGGTGAAGTTCATAAAGCCGAACAAGGCGGTGATACTCCTCCAAGGCCGCCACGTCGGCCACAAGGCGGTGGTCCTCAGGAACTTTGATGACGGCACCTGCGACCGCCCATACGGCAGTTGCTTGAGCGCCAGCTTCGCCAAGTACCCGACAAAGGTCGTCCGCTGGGACTCCGCGAGGTGAGAAAATTGCGCGTCAAGGTCGTCAACTGCAGCCACATTATGCCCACGCGCTACACGCTCGAGGTCGATCTAAAGGACATCGTGAGCCTCGACGCGCTCTCGTCGCGTGACAGGAAGGTCGCGGCGTGCAAGGAAATCAAGGCCCAGTTCGAGGAGCGGTTCAAGAACGGGAAGAACTACTGGTTTTTCTTCAAGCTTCGGTTTTGAGGTTAGGTCCTCACTTTTCTTTTCGTTTGGGTTAGACGCAGTTAATTTTTCTTCTTAATTGGTTTAGCCATTTTTTGAGTTGTGTTTAAATGTTTTTTCAGTTTTAGAGAGTTGCATTTCGTTTTCATTTGGTCACCTAATGAGGATTTTGTATATAAGATTACTAGTACTAATACTCATGTACAACATAGGTGTTGAGTTAATGAATATATGTGTAAAGTTATTTATGTCTAATACCAAACCTAACTCCAGAGCAAATATAATATAAAAACAACATCACGAAGCATAGATTTTCGCCATGTCAGCATCCGAAGCGTGAGAATCTGCCACCTATACTCAACACGTTTTGAATTAATATATAGGGAGGGATATTTGCTAAAGAATTGAAAATTTATTGTTTAAGGAAAAAAAAAAAAAAAAACGTCTTGTTAATTTGGCAACTCTAAATGTTTTGTAAACATGAACTTTATTTATATTAAAATACTTTTAAGTAAAATAATTAAAGTAAATTAGATGTAAAATAAGGAAATATAGTGTGAAGTGATATTAGTTAAAACTATGCGAGTAAATGAATTATGAATTAAAATTATGTAATGTTCTACAATAATTGATTTGTATTATTTAATTATATAAATATAGAGAATATGAGGATATTTGGATAAAATTGAGTTATACTTGAATTAAAAATTTGATTTATTAAAAATGATTGGATTTTTTTTAAAAAATTTGATTTCCAACCATGCGACTACTACTCGTTTCCCCAACATTACTACATCTTCCCCCCACCAAAAAAAAAAAGAAAAGAAAAGGATACTTGAAATTACATTTATGCCCCCATAAAAAATATTACTCTATTATTATCTTGCCATTTTCATCTTATTCACTATTTTTTTTTTTTAACTTTTTAACTCCACATTTTCTTCACCAATCTCCTTCTTTCTTTTCATAAAAAATTAATCCATCGATCTTTACATTATTCTTCATTAATCCACATGTCTAGTAAATCCAACATCATCGAAAATACTTGCAAATAATGTAATAACCCCTATTTTTCATTGATTTTCACAAATGAGTATCTTGATTTTTGAGTGTTTGAGTAACGTCTTGCAAATAACGTCTGTTTAAATGATGAATTTGAAGATTTTACGAATTATTTTGAAGACGGACAAATTCATGTGAGTTATAGTGAAGCTTTGCTCTATTGCTAACTTTTTACTATATACTCAGGGTATGAACTGAAAATATCTTCAATTTATTTACTCACCAGTGTGAGGCTTAGATGTAGTCGGGCCAACACAAAAAAATCGAAAGATAGAGGGAACCCAAACCCAAGAAAGAGAAAGAACACAAAAACCATTTTTTTGTGGTTGTGAGTTCACGGTAATATTGAAAAACTTAACTCCAAGGTCAGAGTTCCAAGTGGAATTATGAAATTTGAAGAGGGTAGACACAATCATGAGCATGTTGAATATGCAGAGGGACATTGGCAAATGAACAGTCTTAGTGTTGGTGCAAAAAAACTTGTTCGGTCGATGGCTCTTTGTCAAACAAAGCGGCAAAACATATTGTTAGTTGTTCAAAAATCATTTTCGAAGGATAACTGTCACATCAAACAAAATTACAATTACAAGGCAAAATTCCAGAGAGCTTCACTTGAGAAAAATAATATGATACAACAGTTCTAAAAAGTTGGCTAAGGACAACGAATATGATATTCAATCACTTAGAGATCATGATACAAAGAAGCTAAATCATGTGTCTTTGGTCCATCCAGAGTTAAAAAAACACTTAGAGCATACCCTTAGGTCATTAGCATCGATTCCCTAGATCAAAATTGTGCCCTAGACGTTTCTCAGGGGAAAAAAACTATGGTCTAAGATGTTTGTCCTTAGATCAAGCTTTTGCCCCAAATGATTTTTTTTCCACACCTCTACAACTTATTTCATAGTTGTCTAACTTTACAAAAAACTAACCTAACCATTCAACCAATACATTTTTATTTCAACTAATCCAAACATCCATTTCAACAAATCAAATTATTCAACCATTCAATATCATCAAATATCAACTACAAATCAATGAAAAGAGAATTGTTCAAATAAAAATCCAACAATTCAATATCCATGGCTAACACCTAAATGTATGAAAAGTAGCCATGAGACCTTCAACTGACTCTCTCACTGCTTTCGCCCTAACATGATTTGCCTTTATAGCTATCTCAATGGCCTTATTTGTGGCGTCCCAAAATTTGTTCACCCACTGCGATTAAGAGATATAACAAACATTTTAATAATTCAAATGAACTTCACAATCTACTAAAACAAAATAATAATAATAATATTAATAATAATAATAATACTAAACAAATTTACTGATACGGGAACCAAACATGTAGTGGCCTTCGTCGTTTCACTGTTGCGACGCTCCGTTGGGAGGACAAATGGATGTGAGTACTTCTTACCAATCCATGTATCCAGTATGTGTAGCTCCAACATCATAGATGTGACTGGGATATAAGGTAGAAGACTCAAGCAACCCAGGATCGGGAAGGGCTTCTATCCGTCTGAAGCGGATATCGGTAGAAAATCCAGCTTGTAGTATGCTTACCCTGACTCTGAGGACCTTCACCGTGTGGAGGATCATGGTGGAATCGTCTTAACCATCCCTAACTATCTTAAAACATGTGCTGGCATATAAGGCTTACATATCTCACGGTACTGAAACACGTAATAATGTGTCATAGGTCAAGTAACATGTACATCCTCACCGTATGACATCCCCACAACTTACAACTAATAATATTTAAAAAAACAAAAATAATAAGTGATAACAAACAATAAATAATTATTAAACAAGCAAAATTTAAGAACTTTGTAAGTAATACTTACATTACTAGCCTTGAGATTCTTAAACTGACTCCTATAGCCATCCAATGTGATAGATGAAGCTTTGCTTGCTTTTGACTCTACTTTCCATCTACATGTACGGGTTTGCCCCTCCTCTATAACATGTGAGAATATATGGGGTCAAAAGGTAGGAAAATACTCATAGATCCAAGTTTGTAGAAGAGTGAGAAAACCATAAATACCTCCTGCATCAATTCTGCTAGCCATTCCTATCTGTCGATACATGTGCGCTAGAACAACAGAACTCTAAGAATAACTATAGAGCGTACCAATTCTCTTATGGATCTCATGCAACGACCCAAGCCTAATTCTATATTCACTATTGTCTACAAACGAAGCGAAACACAAAGCCAACCACAACCAACCCTCTACCTATCTCTTGATATCAATTCCCGCAATCCTCATTAACGTATCTACAATAAAAACATTAATAACCCTACCACCCTGGTAAAAAGTTTGCAAGTCAAGCTTGTTCACCTTATACATTTTTGTGACCAACTTATGCACCTGTGTAGTAATAAGGTCCTTACTTACCGGCTCACCATCAATAGGAATTCTCAAGATACACTAGACATCATGCAACATTATGGTCACTTCACCAAATGGAAGGTGAAATGTGTTAAGTGTCAGGTTGCCAGCCAACGCGCAATAAAGGCATTGATCAGGGAAACATCAGTGGTATAATGCATTCAAGCATGGAGGTGCGATAAGCCTGTGCGGACAACCTCATTCCTCACATAATCATTATTCTTCACCTATTTAGCCAATCAATTCAATGCCAACATCCGTGTATGCATCTTCAACGTCTTTTTTTTTTTTTTTGTAGTCCAAACTTGATATGCAACATGACCAGAAACTTGGGGAGGGACACCGGGCACTGGTTCTTTTACATCAAGCAAGTCTGGTCCTTTTTGATGGTTTGGACTACATCAAAAAGGACGTTGAAAATGCATACACGAACATTGACATTGAATTGGTTAACTGAAAGGGTGAAGGATAAAGATGATGTGAGAAATTAAGTTGTCCGCACATGCTTGTCGCACCTCTTTGCTTGCATGCATGATACCATTAATGATTCTTGATCAATGCTTTTATTGATCGTTGTCAGTCTAACAATAACACATTTCACCTTCCATTTGGTGAAATGACCATAATGTTGCATAGGTGTTGAGCGTATCTTGAGGATTCCTATTGATGGTGAGCCGACGATTAAGAACCTTACTCTTACATACGTGCAACAGTTGGTCACAAAAATGTACAAGGTGAACAAGCTTGACTTGCATAATTTTTACCAGGATGGTGGGTTTAGTAATGTCTCTATCGTGAATGCGTTGGTGAGGACCGCTGGGATTGTCTTGTACGTAGAGTTCATGCCAATGACCTAAGGGTATGCTCGAAGTGTCTTTTTCGACTCTAGATGAACAAAAAAGTGTCTTTTTCGACTCTAGATGAACAAAAAACACATGAGTTAGCTTCTTTGTATCATGATCTCTAAGAGATTGAATATCATATTTGTTGTCCTTAGCCAACTTGTAGAACTGTTGTATCACTCTTTTTCCCAAAAGTGGCACTCCCGAGCTTTGCCTTGTAGTTGTAAATTTGTTTGTTGTGACAGTTGTTCTCCACAAATTATTGTTCAACAACCAACAATATGTTTTGCGGCTTTGATTAAAAAAAACCATCGACCAAATAAGTTTTTTTGCTTCAACACTAAGGCCACTCATTTGCCGATTTCCCTTTGCGTATTTAGTAGGCTCATGATTGTATCTACCCGCTTCACATTTCATAATCCAGCTATGGAACTCCAACATTGGAGTCAAGTTTTGCAATATTATCGTGAACTCACAACCACAAACAATGGTCTTTGTGTTCTTTCTCTTTGTTGGCTTTGGAGTCCTTCAATCTTCCAATTTCTTTCTGTTGGCCCGATTAGATCGAAGCCTCACACTGGTGGGTAAATGATTTGAAGTCATTTTCAGCTCATACCCTGTGAATACGACAAGAAAGTAGCAATAATGTAAAGCTTCACTATAGCTCATGTATTCGTTTGTCTTCAAAATAATCCGTATAATCTTCAAATTCATTTTGTAACAG